TAGAAGAGACGGCAGTTTCCCACCATTTTGGCCAGGGATGGTCTCGATCCCTGACTCCCGTGATTCCACCCCGGGCTAGCCCTCCCAAAGTTGCCCGGTTTAACAGGCGTCGAGCCACAGTACCTGGCCCAACTTATCTTTAAAGGTCATCTGAGCCAGGGAGCAGTGGGTTTATGCCTGTCAATCCCCAGGCACTGTGGGAGGTGGAGGCCAGGCAGTCACGAGGTTCAGATATCGAAGGACCCATCATCCTGGCTAACACAGTGAAACCCTGTCTCTACTAAACATACAAAAAAAAAAAAAAGAGCTGGATGTGGTGGCACGTGCCTGTAGTCCTAGCTACTTGGGAGGCTGAGGCAGAAGAATCGCTTGAACCCAGGAGGGGAAGGTTGCAGTGATCCGGGATCATGCCACTGCACTCCAGTCTGGCGACAGACTGAGACTCGGTCTTAAATAAATAAATAAATAAAGGCCATTCTGACTCGTGTTGAGCATAGATTGTGGGAGGTGGAGAAGGTGGGAGTTAGGAAACTAGCAAGGAGGTCGAGCAGGATTCCAGGTGGCAGGACCAGCAGGCAGCTGTGGACAGGGTGAGGAGTGGCTGGGTTCGGATCTGCCTTGCAGGATTTCCTAATGGATTGAGTGTTGGTGCGAGACACAGAGTCAAAGGTAGCTGCAAGGGGTTTGGCCCTGCGCACCTGGAAAAGTGCAGTGTTGAGACATGCAGCAACAGCTCCCCACCTAACTTCACAGTCCTGAGCAACCCCAGCAGAATGAAAACCCTGCTTCCCAATGACTCCAGCTGGAACACAGTGGAACGTAGTAGGCACTCACCACTCACTGCTGAATGGTAAATAAGTTCATTCAACAGATGTTTATTTCAACCTACTCGGCACCAGGCCCCATGTCTACACAGTGAAGACAGACACAGTCTTTGCATTTCTGAAGTTTGCAGTCAAGCTTCCTATCTGATGAAACTAAGGCAGGTAGAGAGATGAATGATTGGCTACGATGCCCACCTTCCTGGGGAATGTAGTATCTTTACGGAAAGTTTTTAGACCACAAAAATGGCCCTCAAACTTCAGGTTTCAGCCTGGCTATTTCCAGGCAGGGAAGCCTTCTGGGTGCATCTCAGATTACACCTGGGAGGCCACCCCACCCACACACTCAGCCTGCCAGAGCCCTGACCACAAAAAAAGGTGCCCTGAGACAGCTGCCTTCCTTTTTTTTGTTTTGAGACAGACTCCATTGCCCAAGCTGGAGTCCAGTGACGCGATCTCAGCTCACTGCTCAGCTCAGCACTGCTCGGCTTGGCTTAGTTTCCAGGGCTCAGGTGATTTTCCACCTCAGCCTTCTGAGTAGCTGGGACTACAGGCATGCACCATCATGCCTGGCTAAATATTGTGTGTGTGTGTGTGTGTATGTGTGTGTGTGTATGTGTGTGTGTGTGTGCGCGCGCGCAGTTTTTGTAGAGACAGGGTCTCGCCATGTGGTCTCAAACTCCTGGGCTCAGGCAATCTGCCCACCTTGCCCACCCCAAGCGCTGGGATTACAGGCATGAGCCACCGCGGCCAGCCTCCCCATTCATTGTTGAGACATTCTCTGTAGCACTCAGGGTCTCAGCAGCAAACAGAATATATCCAAAAGGGATGACCAAGGAGAATTCTACAGAACAGCCTATCATAGAGAGGTGGGCGGCGTTGAGGGACATCCACAGGGGACAAGGGACAGTGAGGCCCACTGCAGCCAGCAAGAGCCGAGGCCCCTCCCCTCCAGGGCTAGGGAGCAGGGGAAGGAGCAGCGAACCCGAGCCAGGAGACCTGGAGCTTCAGCGGGAGCTGCTGACAGGAGCTGTGGCCTTCAGGAGAGGGAGGGAGCCACTGCCCACCAGCAGCCCAGCAGGGAGTGGGTACCCCCTCTACTCCCCTCTCACCCTCCAATTCCTGCTGGTACCTCCCGCTGGCTGACCCAAAGGGAGCCTGGCAGAAGCAGGGCAGAAGTCAGCCTGGGGCCCCGGGGTATGGGGGGCGGGGTGCAGTGCGTGTCCGCGGGCACACAGGGAGGGGCCAGCACACGCTCTTTATCCCAGAGGCTCCACCTGCTTCCTTTGGTCAGGCTGGGAAACTGAGGCAAGGGCCGCTCAACCTGAGGAAACTGAACTCCACAGCAGGCAGAAGCCTGAGGGGTTCGAGCTGGGAAAAGGCACAACCACCAGTACGCAGTTAGGGGCTGTGGGGGAGGGGTGTGGGTGTTTGGCTATCACCATGGCAACCACTCTAAGCTGCCATCCAGGTCAGGCCAGGGAATGGCTGGAAGTCACTTTTTCCATCACCTACCCATTCCAGTCCCATCCCTCTTTCCTTCCTCCTTGGCCCCACACAGAGTGACTTCCCCTGTTGCTCCGTTCCCAAGCATGAGAACAATGGATGCTGCTGGCTCAGGGTAGGGTGATAAGCTCGGGCTGGCGTACCGTGTCGTGGGGGGAGGAAAGGAGAGGGGAAGAAGTTACAGAAGGAGATGGCACAGGGGGTACCAGAGAACCCAGAGTGAAGGAGAGAGGATTACGGCGGAGGGCCGCTGTCCAGGAGGGGTGACCTGCCACCTGGCACGTTCAGCCTGTGGTCAGCAAGCAGCTTTCATTGGTGTGGCGACACCAGGGCGTACCAAACTCTGTCTGTCCTGCCCCTGCCAGTGGGACAAGAAACAAGGCCCAGGATGGGAGGGGATTTTATTCACTCCTCCTTATAAATGCACCAAAAAGGGTTACCAGGGAGCTGCAGATTCTAGACAGACAGGACACCAAGTCTCCCTCCAGCACAGACTCCTAGAAGAAGGATGTTCCTTTTTGCTTAGAAAGGCAAAGGTGGGAAGGGAGGGGGCCATAGCCTTACTTAGGGGACTTCATTGTGACACAGGCTTTTGATGCTGGTCAGTCCTGCTGGGCCGGGTTACTCCAGGAAGCAGGGCGAAGGCGGCCAAGCCACTCTCCTCTCCCACAGGCCTCCCCTCAGTCTGCGCTCTGCAGCCCCTCTCAGGGCCACTAATCCTGCTCTAATCCTCCTCTCCTCCCTCCCAATTCCAACCTGCCCCCCTGAGCTCATTTGGTTCAAATTCTTCCTCTGCATAAAGTCTTTGATCGCTGGTCACATAGGCTGCACTACCCCGGTGAAATTCCAACACATTCACTGCTTAGAGCACGCAGTTTTCACCCAGCATGACACACTTATCTTCTGATGTGGATTGCCTTACTGCCCTACAAACAGCTCAGAATTGCCTCACACCCAACTACGTGCACTCGGATTCAATGAGGAGCAGAGGCAAGATTCTAGGACCTCCCATTGTCAGAGATTTTAATATCAGCCGCTGACATCTTGGGGGTTTCCTAAAAAGGGCAATTACCCCTCACTCTGCCAAACAGGCAAGAGAAAGCTCTGTCAGGGTCACACCGGTGTCATCCACAGGCACCAAAGCACGTCTTTGCAGACTATCCTATTTGAATCGCACGGCAATTTTGTGAGGTACCCATTTAACAGGTGAGGAAATTGAGGGTCAAAGAGGTTAAATGGCATGTCCCAGGGCACAGTTAGTCTAGAACACAGGTCCCTAGACTCCTAGCTTAACACCTGGAACCCAGGAGAAATACCTAGTATCCAAAGAAGAACAAAAAAGGCTATCAAACCAGGTGTGGTGGCTCACGCCTGCACTCCCAGCACTTTGGGAGGCCGAGGCAGGTGGATCACTTGAGGCCAGGAGTTTGAGACCAGCCTGGCCAACATGGTAAAACCCCATTTCTACCAAAAATGCAAAAAATTAGCCGGGCATGGAGACACACGCCTGTAATTCCAGCTACTCGGGAGGCTGAGGCACGAGAATCACTTGAACCCGGGAGGCGGAGGTTGCAGTGAGCTGAGGTCGCACCACTGCACTCCAGCCCGGTCGACAGGGCAAGACTCCATCTCAAAAATAATAATAATAATAATAATCAGTGCTATGAAGCTGGGAGATACCTGACCCAACGTTACTCCAGGGTGGAAAGCAATACTAAAAGAGGAGAAACAACTTGCCCCGGCGGAGGGGAGATGCAATCCCTCCCTCCAGCCCACACAGGGAAGCAGACAGATGTAAGCGCTCAAGAGAGTCTCCCGGCTGCCAGCATGGCTGCTCTGAGCCCTCAGGGTTCAAGGGTCCAACCCCAGGTGAAAAGCTCAGAGGAGGGTCTACTCTGCCCAGAACCTCT